CACTATTATGCCACATTCCCAAAAGTTGACAAAATCTGACACCAAAATAAATGCTATTATATGTTACCTATAAGTGGATCCTTTTGCTCTCTTAAGCCCTGTAGTAGAAAACAGGCACTTGGACAATCTTTTTGGCAATTTGTTTGAGTATCACACTCGTGCTTCAGGCTCCCCACATCATTGTGTCTTGAGCACTCAGGGGAGCTTAATCTATTAAAATTTTGAAACTCCATCAGCTCCTCATTATTTTGCAAAGACAGATGCTCACTTTCCAGATGTGAGGCCTGGGTAGAATTTTCATTACTTGAATCCAATAAGAGGTTATGATTCTTCAGCCAGATGGGATACTTGGATTCAGGAATACTACTTATGTCTGAAATGCTCAACTCAGTTTTATGGCTTGTCAGCCATCTTGGATAATTCTTATGAAACACAGTCTCTCGGTTGGCAAGCTGGTCATTCCCAGGTAACACAGAATCATGTCTGTAAAATTTATATTGTGTGCCCTTTTTTCTGCTAGCTTCACGGTATGAGGAGGGAAGCAAGGAATTTTTCAAAGAATCTTCTTTTTCTTTATCATTGGAGGACGAAGTCCAGTGATGAGAACAAGAAGCAGATGTTCTCCATGACCTCCTGTTCACATTGCCTCTCTGAGCTAATGACCTAGAAATCTTGAAAGAGAGAGAACCATCTGCAGGAAATGCTAAAAGATCATCTGTAGTCAGACTGACTATATCTGGCTCATAAACAACTCTTTTTCTCAGACGTGTATGCTGCTTGACATTTTCTAAAACAAGAAGAGACATAATTTGAGTTAAACTACAGGTTCCAAGCAAGGAAATATTTCAAAAGGTATTTGCAATCATTCTTGTCAGCCAGCCAATAGAACAGTGATGGCGAACCTTTTAGAGACCGAGTGCCCAAACTGCAACCCAAAACCCACTTATGCATTGTCGAGTGCCAGCTGGGTGTGGCCCATTGGCTGGGTGTGGCCCATTGGGTGGGCGTGGCTGTGCTGGTAACAGCAGACTGGGTGGGACTAAAAAGTTCAATCAATTAATTCCAACTTTGCAAGATCTTTTTTTTCCCCACGAGAAGTTGAAATTGACTGATTGAACCTTTTTTTTTTTTTTTGCACACTGCGGCGGAGGCCTAAAGCGAAAAGGTTTTATAAAACCCAGCGGAAGCCTAGGACTGGGGCGACGGCGCACGTGCCCACAGAGAGGGCTCTGAGTGCCACCTCTGGCACCTATGCCATAGGTTCGCCACCACTGCAATAGAACATTCTATGCCAGTGATGGCGAACCTTTTAGAAACCGAGTGCCCCAAAACCGCCCATCGCCCCCGCTCCGCCTCTAGCCCTGCCTGCTCTGCTCCCACCTGCCCCGCCCACCCACAGGGCCACGCACCGCCTCCATGGCCCGCCACAGATTGCCCAGGCGGTCCTGCAGCACCATGGCAGCCACGCCCTCCGCCCACACCCTGCAGCATCATCTATGGGGCGCAAGGGCGGAGTCTTGTCCCTGCTGCCCGGCTATGTCCTTGGCTGCGCTGCTCCGTCGGGCCGCACCCAGAGGCGCTCTGCTCCAGGTGGGCTGCTTGCGAGGAGGGGGCCACGTGGGGAGGCGGGGCTGGGATGACGGCACGCATGCCCACAGAGAGGGCTCCGAGTGCCTCCTCTGGCACACGTGCCATAGGTTCGCCACTACTGTTCTATGCCATCCCTTCTAATATTGAGACTCATTTCTAGAGATTAAAAGACACGTTTGTATCAAGAAATACGCTATTTTTTTTCAGACCATGGGTGATATCAAATGATGGTCTGGGCACCACATTCTTTAAAGTCTGAAATTTTGAAGATTTTAATTATTTCAAATTAAAATTTCCTAGGACAATGCTGAAATCTTGGGAGATTCGCTGCTAACTGAAGCCCTACATTTTCTTGAAAGACATACTTTTTGTCAAATACTTCTACCTTTCCTACCTGAATGCAAATACACTATTTTCACTGTTTCATCACATAAGTAACATAACATAAATGTACAAAGACAAAATAATTACCACAAATTAGTGTTCAACATTTCAAGTTATATTACTGGTTAGATGACTTTGAGACAGCGGCTCATTCTTAGCCCAACCACTCTCACGGGCTTGTTTCTTGCGGAAAAAAGAAGCTGAGGCATAATGTACATTGCTTTCATGTCTACAAAACACAGGCAATATATGAATGTAATAATAATAATCGCTAATAATAAGAATATGAATTGAGTTGGGAATGGGAGGCACCGTTATGCGGTGGTTCTCTTCCTTCCTCACCGATCGTACGCAGTCTGTATTGGCAGGAGGACAGAGGTCGACCCCTAGGTCCCTAACTTGTGGGGTTCCTCAGGGGTCGGTCCTCTCTCCTCTTCTGTTCAATATTTATGTGAAGCCGCTGGGGGAGATCATCCGTGGCTTTGGGGTGNTATATATATAATCGCAATTTGGGCACTTTGATAACCGGCCATGCATTTACAATAGTTGCAGCATCCCAGAATCACGTGATCACTGCTGGTGACCTTCCCAGCCAGCTTCCCATAAGGAAACTCAATGGGGGACTTGAGCAGGTTTTGCTTAACAATCACACACTTCATTTGACTATGCGATTGGCATAATGACTGTGGGAAAAAGGTCATAAAATGAGGCACAGTCACCTGATGACTTGTTAAGTAACAACTGCATCATTTAATGATGGAAGTCTGAGGGCTACCTGTATGCTCAAAACCTGTCAAAAAATATCTTACTTTACAAAGTTCCTTCCAAGATCCTAACTGTGCTCCTCCTTATTTTTTGTTTCTTCAAGAAGACTTTGTTTATATGAGCAATGCTGATACTTTCAGTTGCTCTCTTACAGCCCAGGTTGCTTCGAAAAGTTTACTGGGCTTGCTTGAACTGCACTAAAAGATACTGAAAGGATCTGCACAGACACAGAGTACACAGAGAAGGTGCCACTTGCATTGCTCCCTCAATTAGGTAGTTATGCCTCTCATAATGTTGAAAACATTCAATCAGAATAGAGCTGGAAGAACCCTGGAGGTCTTCTAGACCAACCCCCTTCTCAGGCAGGAGACTCTATATCATTTCAGACAAGTGACTGTCCAATCTCTTCTTAAAAACCTCCAGTGATGAAGCATCTACAACTGCTGATGGAAAGATGTTCCACTGGTTAATGGCACACTGGAATTCACATACTGGAATCAGAACAAGCAACAGTGACATGGAACCCAACTGCTTACTATTTTCATGGGAGGCCGCAAGGGAAGTGGAAAAAACTTCCCTGGAATAAGGCAGTATCAAACAACTTTTGTCATGTTAAAAGAGAAAACTACGTGGGTATGTCCATGAAGCCACCCGGAGTTGAACCAAAAGAGTTTACCACACCTATCCAATCACAAAGAGATTGGGAAATAAATAAAAAAAACCACTATTTTCATTACATCCATATTCTAGTATCTTATCTGATACCTTTGTATCTCCAAACTGGGTGGTGTAATAAGTTCTGTATGCATGTGAATATGTGTATATTTGACTCCAAAATTTATGCTGCTAAGCAAGACAGTTAAGTGAGTTTTCCCCATTTTGCAACCTTTCCTCCCACAATTGCTAAGTGAATCAGTGCAGCTATTAAGTTAGTGAATCTGGCTTCCCCATTAACTCAGGTTGCAAAAGATGATCACATGACCCTGGGATACTGCAACTGTCATAAATACAAGCCAGTAATCAAGTGTCCGAATTTTGATCCTATGGCCACGGGGATGCTGCAACGGTTGCAAGTGTGAAGAACGGCCACAGGCCTCTGTTTTCAGTGTCAATGGCTAACAAACTGGAGGCGGGGGTGGGGGTGGATGGGGAAGTAACTCTGCATTTCTCAATTCTCTTTTTTGTTGTCCTCTGACCTTGAATATTGACAGCTCTTTCCCTCTGCATTAAATGTGGGAACTAGAGTATAGGTTCCTAAAGTAAACAAATCACATTTTCAAAGAAATGACACAGAAGTCTTTCTCAAACACAGCCCTGCCCACAAGTTTGACACCGTTCCTGGCCATTACTCATGTCACTCTTGACCTTCAAAAAGCATTGTACGGTCCTGTAACAGAAATCCTGAGAATGTAGTAAGCACAAAAGGAATAACCAGTTTATGAACACATAAGGAGGCTTGGCTCCTGACACAGAGAAAATGGACAAAAATCTTCAAGGAAATTATTGGTCCCTTGGGAAATATTTTGAGCCAATGTTAAGTGTGTGGGTAACAGGGACTGGTTGGTTATAATAGCAGCGAAGAGTTCTGTGGACGCCACTTGCAATTGGCTAGCTTCTCAAGCTACTAAGAAGTGAATCTGGAACTCTTTGTTTTTTCTTAATACAATGATCTGGACACAACTAATGGAACTAAATGGTTGAGGAGTCAGGAAAGATAGAGCATATGGTTAAGCTACAAATGCACTTGTGAAAGAGGTGACTTTAAAAGGGGGAGTGGACAAACTCATGAAGAATCTGGCTTCACCGTTACGACAACAGGATCTAGCAGTGGTCTTCTTAGATTTCTTGTACAAACACCATCATTTTATCTCATTCAGGTAGGTTGAAGAAGCTGGTATTAGTCAGGCTATTGCTGAAGAGTCCCACTCTGTGTATCCATAAAAAACTTAATGGGGTTCTCATATACTCACAAACCAATTGGAACGTTATCCCACAATCTTTCTGCTTCTAGTATATCCATTGTACAAGGACTGCCATCATTTTTCAGGAGACTAGTTGATTCCTCAGCCAAGGGTTCCAGTGCCCTCCTTGCTTTCTGAATTAGTTTTTCTGTGTCATCTAAAATAATTATAAATGTCACAATTAAAAATGTCACATGTCATGGCTGATACATATTGCATATTATTTCAAATAAATACGAATGTCTAAAGCAGGTTTAGGAGCCCTCGGGGAACAGTGGTTAGAATACAGTATTTCAGGCTACTTCTGCCCATAGCCTGGAGTTTGATCCTGATGGGGCTCAAGGTTGATTTAGCCTTCCAGCCTTCCAAGATCGCTAAAATGAGGACCCAGATTGTTGGGGGAAATATGCTGACATTGTAAACTATCCAGAGTGCTGTAAAGCACTGTAGGGCAGTATATAAGTGCTATTGCTATACTCAGCCTTGGCAATTTTAAGATCGGTGGATTTCAGCTCCCAGAAATCCCTAACCAGGCCCAACCCAAGAAGAATTCTGGGTGTTAAAATCGACAATTGCACTTTATTTATTAAATTACTGCTAAATAAATCATGCTTCTTCACAGTATCTAAACCCAATCACTATTATGCCACATTCCCAAAAGTTGACAAAATCTGACACCAAAATAAATGCTATTATATGTTACCTATAAGTGGATCCTTTTGCTCTCTTAAGCCCTGTAGTAGAAAACAGGCACTTGGACAATCTTTTTGGCAATTTGTTTGAGTATCACACTCGTGCTTCAGGCTCCCCACATCATTGTGTCTTGAGCACTCAG